AAATTCTGCTTTACATCTGATGTCATTCATTGAACATACATATCATGATGACTTTTTCAGAAGGTGTTAATGTGTGATAATTGCAAAAAAGGTTATCCAATAATTCTTTTTTTTAATTTCAGATGATGGTATTTCTCAGTTCTAAACTTTCCATATCACTTTTCTACTTTTTTTAAAGAAACAGGGTCTCACTGTCTTGCCCAAGCTGGAGTGCAGTGATGTGATCATAGCTCACTGCAGCCTTGAACTCCTGGGCTCAAGCAATCCTCTCACCTCAGCCTCCCAAGTAGCTGGGACTACAGGAACACACCACCGGACCAGGCTAATTTTTCTATTTTTTATAGAGACTGAGGTCTTGCTGTGTTGCCCAGGCTGGTCGCAAGCGATCCTCCCACTCTGGCCTCTCAAATTGCTGGGATAATAGGCATGAGCCAATGGACCCGGCCAGATTACAGCAATGTTTTTATTGGTTTCTACCTTAAACTTTTGTGTCTTAGATATTATCTCTTTGGCTTGTAAGTTACCTTTGTCATCTCCTTCAATTTAAGTTGTAATGGTTGTCTTAGAAAATTCCCAGCATAATTTCTAAAGCTCCATCAATTGATATAATCTTTGCTCAGAGAGTGAATTATGTGGTATGGAATATAGAAATTAAGTTACTTATAAATTAGAAGTAAAATAATAGCTCTTTTAAAGCAATGATTTCCACATAGAGCAGCATTTCTTTTTAAGATCATATACAGCCTTGAGATTCCTGGAAAAATGTACATACAATACTTTTTTGTAATTCTTCACAGGGTTCACAGACCTCTTAAAGACTATTCATGGACCTCAGATTTAAAAATTACATTTGAGTCTATTGTCAGCATATATTTATTGACTGCCTTTATGTATAAGTCACTTTATGAAGTATTACCTCTACAAGAGAACCATGAAATTCTTATGGTTATTACCTGTAAACACCATCCGGTTAGAAATTGAATTTTTATGGAGTATATTTTTCTAGTAATAAGTAGTAAATTTTCTCTAAGCTGATAAGGATCTTAATTCTACTAGCCATGCTCTAGTTTGCCATTTTGTCTGTAGTGATTATTTTCCCCTTTGATCGAAAGTTAGATCTATGTTAATACATTTCTTTCTCATGTTGTTTACAAATTATTTCTATCTTTAACCTAAAATACACAGGGCTTCAGGAAGATCTTATGTAGAAGCAGTAAAATGTGTATTTCATGAATCATTAAGTAATAGTAACATTTTGTTTTTCTCTTTATTAAATAGCACCAGTAACTCCAGATAGTGGCTATTCATCAGCCCACGCAGAGGCCACCTATGAAGAAGACTGGGAAGTATTTGACCCGTGAGTTGGGGTTTTTGTTTTTTTTCCCTTTCTTTCCTTTTTGGAGCATGATGAAAGTATGTTATCTGTGTGGAGGGGTGGCTAAATGGTACATTACCAAGAACATGTGACCTGTAGATATTAAAATCTTTACTGAGTTACAGTGATACTAATTTGTGTATTTTCACTTTTATTTACATGTTTTATAAATTTGGCTTACTGGGTTAATTGTGCTTTATTTAATTAGATGGGCTGAATTTAGTAATATCTTTTATATTTATAAAGTAGGAATGTTGAAATTTTCTTAAAATTTGATTTATAGCTATTATTTCATCAAACATGTTCCACCACTGACAGAAGAACAATTAAATAGGAAACCTGCTCTTCCACTGAAAACAAGAAGCACACCAGAATTCTCCCTAGTTTTAGACCTGGTAAGTATATTATCTGCAGGTAGAAAGAATAAAGAGGTTAAATTCTTTTTAAAAATAATAGCCCAAAATACCTAAAAGAATACAAATGAATGAGTAGCCATCACACTTACTATAAATATATCCAAGGAGTTCTGAAATGATTTTATTTAAGCATAGTCTAATGTTAGGGTCCTTAGTTTGGTTAGTATCAGGTACTCTTTAAGAATAAATTAGACTTTTTAAAGTTTTTTCCTTCATACTCCTGAGACCCTTGTGATTTGTTTTTTAATCTCTTAAAAAATTCTAATTTCATTTTATTTGAATCATGCCTATTTTAGATTTTCCCCTATTTTGTTGGGATCATGTGTCTCTGAAGGACCGAATATAATTTGGGTCTCAGTGAGTGAACCATATGCAAGACCATAATCCCTTTGTTATTCTTACTTTGACATACAATCTAATACAATAAACATTTAATTAATAATCTACAAAGCATAATCTCTTAATGCTGACTAATAAAGGCTTTAATATGCTTTCTTGATATGATTTAAAATTTGTATTTTAGGGTACCAGAAAAGCTTTGAAACCTAAATATCTCGTATCTTTTGCTAACCAAATTTAATATATAGTTAACACATTTACCATCTGCCTCCAATTTCTTCTTTTTTTTTTTTGAGACAAGAGTCTTGCTCTGTTGCCCAGGCTAGAGTGCCGTGGCATCAGCCTAAACATTTAATTAATAATCTACAAAGCATAATCTCTTAATGCTGACTAATAAAGGCTTTAATATGCTTTCTTGATATGATTTAAAATTTGTGTTTTAGGGTACCAGAAGAGCTTTGAAACCTAAATATCTCGTATCTTTTGCTAACCAAATTTAATATATAGTTAACACATTTACCATCTGCCTCCAGTTTCTTCTTTTTTTTTTTTGAGACAAGAGTCTTGCTCTGTTGCCCAGGCTAGAGTGCCGTGGCATCAGCCTAGCTCACAGCAGCCTCCAACTCCTGGGCTCAAGCGATTCTCCTGCCTCAGCCTCCTGAGTAGCTGGGACTACAGGCATGTGCCACCATGCCCAGCTAATTTTTTTATATATATATTTTTAGTTGTCCAGATCATTTCTTTCTATTTTTTAGTAGAGATGGGGTCTTGCTCTTGCTAAGGCTGGTCTTGAACTCCTGACCTTGAGCGATCCTCTGGCCTCAGCCTCCCAGAGTGTTAGGATTACAGGCGTGAGCCACCACGCCCGGCCTGCCTCCAATTTCTTGATATTAGCAAAAAGAGAATCTTATGTCATATTGGAAAATATTTCATTATTTAGCATTTTTTATTGGTACCCTATGATTAGAGATGTGGTTTAGTTCTTAGAGAAAATTTATCTTGATGAAAAAGCCTATTCTTAGCCAGGCGTGGTGGTGTGCGCCTGTAGTCCCAGCTACTTGGGAGGCTGAGGCAGGAGGATCACTTGAGACCAGGAGTTTGAGGTTGCTGTGAGCTAGGTTGATGCCACGACATTCTAGGCTGGGCGACAAAGCGAGACTCTATCTCCAAAAAAAAAAAACCGAAAAGAAAAAGCCTACTGTTTTAAATTTTTAATTAGCATATATAGTTGTGATTTGAGAGTTCAGCATCTTAGCCTTTGCCTAGCCAAAGAGATGTAGGAGAACTATCCAGAAATCCTAAGATACTAACTAGAGGTAAGTAAAAAGAGGGGAAAAAAATTGTAACTGATTATAAGTAGTGCATATTTGATGTGCAAGTTAGTGGAGAAAATTCAGAAAGATTTTGATGTTAGGAGTTGATGTCATGATATCAAGTTTGGCCATATTATTTTGAATCTAATGTAAAGATAAATAGAGAAGGAAAGATAAGAATTGGCTGAACATAATTTTATAGAAGTAGATGAAAAATGATCAGAATTAAATAGGCTGTAGACAAAGTAGTAGGATTAGTTATGATTCCGTTGTCGGAAAGAGAGCACCTTGAAATGTTTAGTCTGATTTGCTATTAGAAGAAAGTGAGGCATATCTAGAGTATTTTTTGCTGTTTGCCTCAGCAGAGTTTAACATTAGGTTAAAAGAAACACTCCAGCTAGTAAAATGTGGAATCACAAGGTATGAACATTTCTGTTTAATTTTAACTGATCTTCAATTTATTAAAAATTTGGGGGGAAATTATTAGCAGCTTTATTTTAAAAAATGCTGTCACTTAATACTAATGGAAACCAAGGCTGTTTCAAGCATTCAGGATTTGAGAAATACACTAAATATTTGTACCTATCTTAGACTGAACTTTCCTTACTTTCTTATCCTTTTAATGAGAAAAACAGGATGTGGTAATTAAAGATGACAAGTTTTCATTGACTGCTATTTAGTCAAATGATGTATATGAAATCTATTTGTGAGATACTAAAATAATCTTTTCCTAAAGTAAGATGCTTTATAAAAAGTTGGAGGATAAGGAGTTATACAAGGCTGGGTGCCGTAGCTCACGCCTGTAATTCTAGAACTCTGGGAGGCTGAGGTGGGAGGATCGCTTGAGCCCAGGAGTAGGAGACCAGCCTGAAAAAGAGCAAGACCACCTCGTCTCTACTAAAAATAGAAAAATTCGCTAGGCATTGTGGTGCATGCCTGTAGTCCCAGCTACTGAGAGAGGCTGAGGAAGGAGGATCGCTTTAGCCCAGGAATTTGAGGTTGAAGTGAGCTATGATGATGCCACTGTACTCTACCAAGGGCAACAAGTGAGACTTTGTCTCAAAGAAAAAAAGGAATTATACAAATAAATATATATATGTATTTTAATAATAGATTCTAAACTTGCATTTGCTAATTGTAAAAAAAAAAATCTAGCATGCGTGTGGTTTTAACTGAAAGTAGGCAACTGCAGAACTCAGAGCAATGATTCTTGAACTTAAGCATGCATCAGCATCACCTGAAGGAGCTTATACAAACATAGATTGCTGAGGTCACCCTCCACTACTCCTTCAGTGACTCCCTCCTCCACATAGCCCCTCCCCCTAGTTTCTGAGTCATTAGAAGTGGAGCTAGAGAATTTACATTTGCATTTCTATCTAGTTCTGAGATGATGCTGATGCTGCTTGCTGTTCCAGGAAATATACTCAAGAACCAGTGACTTTAGAAAATTCTGTCCCATATTGCTAGGACACATATAGTAATGTGTTATGAATGTATAATTCCTCACATATGAATGGGTGTTTTAGTAAGTGTTTTTGGTGATCATGAATACATTATCATTTGAAATTTCTTTTAATATCTTACTTCATTCAATGTGTTTTTTAAGGATGAAACACTAGTGCACTGTAGTCTAAATGAGCTAGAAGATGCAGCACTTACTTTTCCAGTCCTTTTCCAAGATGTCATTTATCAGGTAATTTAAAAAAATTTTTTTAATAATTTTTGGCCTATTAGGTAACATTCTGAACTGAGAAATTTTTTGTAATTTGTGTGTGTGTGTGAAATTAAATGTGTTTTTCTATAGAACTCTTAATGCATTTCATCAATATTTTAACGATTTATTAACAAAAATAGCATCATACTAGGTACTACATAAAATGACTTTAATTTATTACCCCCAAATGCTAATTTTTCTTACTGGATGATCTGTGTTAGTTTCATAATCTGTTTGCCAGCAGGTGGAGGCAGGAGCACTGACATCATAGATCCCAAAGAGGAACTTGCCAGGTTAACACCTGGTGTTTTTTTCAAAAATCCAATTAATATATAAAGAAAAGTCATTCCTTGTTGGTCATATATTTTCTGTGGTCTGTAAAATTACAGTTTGGTAGATCTATTTTATATTAATACAGAATTCCAGGACACTCTTCTAGTTATTGCTTTACTTAAGGAATTTGAGTATGTGCATTTCTCCCTCTTCTGTGCCAATGGACAGGTAACAGTGCAAAATACAAATATTGTTAACATTTCACTGGGGATTATGTGTGTTGGCCATAGTTTTTACTTTGTTTCGGATTTTCCCGTCATAAGATTGAATTAATATAAGTCAACACACTTTGAAAACTGCAAAGTGCCTTTTTGTGTTGGTGGTTTGTTATTTAATTAGCAATTCCTTCATACATAACAGTTATTGAAAATTTTTGGAAAGGTCAGAAAATTTGTTGTCTGTCAAGAGGATGCCAATCCAAGGATTAACTAAATAAAGCCACAGATCATTTACCATGTGGATTATGAAAAGGTGTTTACGGTTGTTTATGTGCTCTTAATAGGCAGTTAGAATGTGGTTATAGTTTTCTTGGCAGATGATAGTTGCTATCTCACAGGAATCGTAAAATTTCAGAGTTAAATAGAAGTTTGTGGTTCAGGGCTACTTTAGTAATGAGTCAAAAGGGGATTTATTTTAGTAGTTATTGTCAGTTCTAGTTTAACCTAGGTAGGTATTATAGTTGTGGTAATACTGAATACTGTATTCACCTCCCTTTTATATAAACTGATTTTAGTCATGATATATATAATCAGAGGATGAGCAAAATATACATACAAATAGAGGATTTTATGATTTTTCTTTTCTTTTTTAACTAGTTATTATTTGGTTTAAAGCAAATCTTTTTCTTAAGACATTTTCTGCCAAATAGGTTGTTCTTGTTTAGTGTACTTCAAGGACCAGGAGTCTTATAGCCAATATAAGTAGTGTAGCAATATCTTAGTTTTTCTCTTTTTAGCTTGATAAGCTTGTTGAGTTTTTGTTTTTCTTTTCTTTTTTTTTTTTTT